TTGGCTGCTGGGTTACTATAGTTGTAAGCGGTGACAACAATGATTGGATAAGCGAGCAAGCCGCTGAGTTGATCACTCTGTGTTCACTGCATGTGGTCATAACAGTTTCAACTGCTCATTTCATTATGGAGAAACTTCCATTCACTTTGGGATAGAGTTGGAGGTGGTGGGTGGGAAGTGGTAGGGGGTAGGGACTCAAGCCCGTGAGCCCTTCACTACCCACCGCCACTGATCCATCCATCCATTCGTCCATCCATATATATATATATATATATGTATATAGGAAAAAGTCGGGACCTGGACACTATGTCGCTATACAATACATACAGAGGATGTCATCATAATTATAAAGAAGGTCGTTATAGAGAGGCTGAACTGCACATAGGTTAATCATTATTATGATTTCAGCTGATTGTCAAAGACCTTATCGAAGGCCGACACTGGCGTCTGCTGTGGTGTAGGGGTGAGGCGATGCGTTGTCGCACGCAGGAGACCCGGATTCGATTCCCGAGGGGGAGGGGGGGGGGAGAAAATTTTTTATCAAACAGGCCCCACCCTACATTGTACTGTATCTCGTTCTTTCTGTTGCGATGTTTATCCCTCTCACTCTCACTCTGAGATTACCCTGGCAGGCGGGATCGGAAGCCCGTCTCCTGGTAAATGATCTAAATTGTGTGGATGGGGGTGTAAAACACCTGTATCGTATCATGTAAAACACCTGTATTGTATCATGTAAAACACCTGTATTGTATCATGTAAAACACCTGTATTGTATCATGTAAAACACCTGTATTGTATCATGTAAAACACCTGTATTGTATCATGTTAAGCGCATAGAGCATTGCATAAGTGGATATACGCTGTATAGGCTATATAAATGCAATCCATTATTATTATTATTGTATCTCTTTCGTTCTTTCTGTTGCGATGTTGTATCACTCTCACTCTCAGCCCGGGTTGGCCCTGACAGGCGGGATCGGAAGCCCGTCTCCTGCTAAAGAAAAGTTGTTCCCGCATCCGACCCGGACATTGGGGATTGCCTTGTTATTGTTAGTGAGACAACTTTCTGGGCCTTCGGCATTGTGTGGTAGGGTGGCCAGTTCTTTTCCACGCCACGTTTAGATCTACTTCCCCATCTCGAAGTCAGGTACCCATTACTGCTGGGTGGGCAGGAAAAAAATCAGTGTTCGTCTCTTGGTAAATGATCTAAATTGTGTGGATGTGGGTGTAAAACACCTACATTGTATCTCGTTATATCTGTTGGGATGTTTTATCCCTCTCAGCCCGGGTTGGCCGTCTCTTAGAAAATAAAAGATCTGAATTGTGTGGATGAGGACGTAAAACTACACCTATACTGGCACTGGAAGGCTGTTGCGAGTGACGTCACGACTTCCATCATGAGGTCTCCGTCCTATGGTGGGGTACGCAGTAGTGATGTGCTATTGCAAATTTGGAGGAAACAAAACTTCATTGACGATTCGAAATAGTGCTGGGCGGCTAGGTTCCCGATTATTGAAAGCTATGAATCGTAGGAATGGACTCCGAACCCAGTAACAATGTAGGCTACTTACTTTCTAATGATGTGAATTCTTTCGGTGGTTACCCAATTTATTATTGGCTCCGAACATGTTTAGGATGTAAGGCAAGATAACCTTGATTTCGGAACACTACGAAGCATCAAATTTTATTTTTCAAAAATAAATTCTTAAAAAAAAAAAGATTTAGATGATTAAAGTCTGGTAAGAGTTGGTTTTCGTAAAAAGTAGTCGGAACTTTTCTTCCCTAGCATTAATCGTGGGAATCGATTCTTCGCCCAGCTCTACTTCGAAGTGTGAAGAAATGCTATTCGAATACCGTATGCGTATGGTCTTTTTTCTGAACTAAGTCCATCAGCAATACATGTATTCGCTATTCAGCATTCTTCTTGCAGGCTCGACTTATCTTTCTGTCTCACAATTATCAATTGCACAGACTGCATTTATTTATTTATTTCTTGGAACAGAATTTGGAGGACCAGGGATATCTATCTCACTACGAACAAAGCTGAGGATTTTCAACTCAAATGTGAAGACAGTATTGGTGTGTGGATGTGAGACACGGAACACATCTCAGACGTGCATAAAGAGGATCCAGGTTTTACTGAACAAGTGTCTGAGGAAGCTACTGAGGGTCAGATGGACGGACAGGATCACCAACGAGGAAGTATTAAGAAGAACGAGACAGAGCCCAGTCTGAGATGAGCAGGGAAGAAGGCGTTCGCGATGGATTGGACACACTTTAAGAAAGTCAAGCAGCTGCATAAAACAAGGAAAGTGTTAGATTAGAACCCAGAGGGTAAAAGATAAAGGGGAAGACCACGTGGAACCTGGAGAAGAGTCACGGAAATGGATGTGAAGAAAAGTGGGAAGTCATGGAGGGACACCAAGGGACTAGCCCAGGATAGGGAAAGGTGGAAGGTGTTTGTCCGTGGCCTATATCCTGATCCAAGGTGAGAAAGGCAAAGATGATGATGCAGTGTATTTCAGTTTCAGTATTTAAAATATGCCTCTAGGCTTTTAGATGTAATGATATCTTACTTTACAACGGTTGGGAAAAATTAGAAGAAAATCTATTACAAGTAGGCTATATGTACATGTAGCCTATATAGCTGTACAAAAATCACAAAGCATTTTTATGCATTTGAATCGCACTGTCTAGCTTCGAATTGTTGCAAGTACACGTACAATGTAGTCCAAATAAAAAAAAACTACAAATTGTTGTGAATCAAAAATACACCTTTATTTTCGATTCTGCTTTTCAAATACCAAGAACCGGTAATGAATAATTTTTGAAAATCAAATAAAGATTTTTGGATTAAAAAAATATAAAGTAACTGCAAAAACAGCTTTTTAAAATAGGAATTACACAAAACAACATAATAACAACAACAACCAAAAAAAAACAACTCAAAATAGTCACATTTCACCAATGGAAACGATGCATAAGATTATTTTTTTTATATACAAGTAATTTCAAATGTTTGGCATAACCTCGCCCTGATTTGTGAGGCAGCGTGGTGGAATCAGGCTCTCGTCAAAATAATCAAAGTGAAGAAACTTGCATTCTTCCACTGGTTTGTGAATTTTTATCAAATTTTTGTTTTTTGGGCTCAACACCTTTCATACTCATTAAAGAACTCATTTCTGTGTGGATTTTTCTGAAAAACGTTGAATAAAGGCACAAAAAATGTAAATTTTCAGTTACCACGGACTCTTAAGCTAAGGAAATAACTAATCTTTGGCGGCCATTTTCTCACTAATTTTACCTCTGAAAACAAGTGACCCCCACCTCCTTCTTTCTCAAATATCTCGACTTGTATTCAAGATAAATGGATACTTTTTCCATCCAAATAAAGACAAGTGAAGAAGCTTAAGTTTAAGATGATACCAATACCTCTACATGCCCAAAAATTGACGAGAGCCTGATTCCACCAAGCTGCCTCACATTTCTCCGTTTTGACTTCCACTTTCATCGCACGAACTCTCAGAAACACTCCCAGCGAGAAACGACGGGTTTTTTTTTCTCCCGTCACTACTGATAGAAAGGCCTACAGTTCTTGAACAAACCGGAATGCCGGAATATGCTGTATATTATATTTAGCCATTCTTTCTCAATGTAGCCACACAAATGAAATCCTGCATATGTCTTCAATTCAAGTGTGTTTTAGTGAGTCGTGTGTGTGTGTGTGTTGTATTCACGAGTGTAGTGTGTGGGGGGGGGGGGGGGGGGGGAGGGAAAAGAGAAATATGCTTTACAAGCTTACTGTTGAAGAGAAATATGAAACAAGAAACGAGTATATCGTATATCTACGTCTGTGGTGTAGTCATTAGGCACTTCACCATCTCACAAAGTAAGCCTGAGTTCGATTCCTGTGTTGGGAGGGTTTTTTATGGAGTATCTCCGCCTGTCTGCTGGGACATCGCATCCATCTCAGCCCAGATTGGCCTTGACTAGTAAGATCAAAGCTGCCTGCCTACTTATTTGGTTTTAGTGTTAGTACGGTAAGTATTTTACTGCATTTGCAACACAATAAGGTCATATAAGTGCCGAAGATTAGAGGTGCTAAAAGAGAGTAACAAACAAAAAATAGAAGGAGAGGAGATAAGGATGATAGATGTTTGATAGGATAGAAGGAGCAAACCACACCAGAGCACCCGCCAACCACCCACATCATAGTGTAACTTGTGTGAATGGGGGCGTAAAGCATTAACAGTTACAGAAACAATAGTTTATTTGACCAAAGGGTGTAATCCTCTAATCATTAGATCTCTCCACCATAGACCACTTTCGGACTTCTCAGACATGGACGTTAAATTTGCAAGTCACCACACCCAAGTAATCCCAGTTTGGAGAACTTGATATCTGCATTTATTTGTTTCTTAGAATAACCTACCCCAACCCAAAAAAAATAATTAAATAAATAAATAAATAAAGTAAGATAAAATATTTTTTTTTTAATAGAAAAAATAACTAAAAATATCCACATTTTGTAACTCATCTACCCACTTTTCCCCCTTTATTCTTCTTATTAGAGAAAGATCTAGTCAAACAATCACATAGCAGTATCGACAGGACGTAGAAATCTTTTCGTTAGCAACGACTTTCACTTTGATATTATTGTGCTTTATGGGGGCTCTCGTGGCCTAGAGGACAAGATGTTGGCCTCTCATTCAAAAGGTCCCGGGTTCGAATCCGGGTAGCGACAGACAAATTTTCTTCACTAAAAATTGTCTCCTTTCATCTCCTTTCCTGCTCTCTAGCAATATTCTGTTGTCTGCTTTCGTCTCCACTTTCTGCCCCCACCCCCTCACCTCCTTTGCCCCCCTCTGGGCTCTTGACTCTTTCTGCAGCCTTTCTACTGTTACTCCTTGGCTCCTCCTTACTGCTGTCTTTCTGCCACACCCCTGATCTTCTGGTAGGAAAGATCTACACCTAGCCTTCTCGGACAAGGGCGAAAAATCTCGGAGGGCCCGTGTGCAAGTTGCGCACGTTAAAGATCCCTTGGTGGTCTAAAATCGATAAGAGTAGGCTTCGGCCGCCACCCGGGCAAAATTCCAAATTTCCTACCAACTGAAAATATTAGGTGTGTCCCGCGCGCTCATATGACCTTATGCAGTTGCCAGTGCCGTAAAAACACTAACCAAAACAAACCAACAACAATGTGCTTTATATACAACAATGTAATGTAGAACTAGATCTATAGACTTTTCCCCACACTAAACAAACGGAAATTTCACCTATCTACCATACTGGTCAAGGTCAGGAACATAACATTGCCAGAGGGGAAAAGTCAAAATAGACACAAGCTGTTTGTTGACTACTTGCTTCTAAAGCAGCTAATTTTGTCATTAAATAAAATCTAGCTTCTGTAAAAGCTTGTATTACACATTTGCAAACCAAGCAAAAACAAAGACAACAAGAAATTATGCTTTAATCATGAGGGCTTTTGCTCTGTGTGTACATTTGTGCCTCTTTAGCAGGTTGCTCCATGCAAACCTTGCACCACAAACTTCACACTTGTAAGGCTTTTCTCCCGTGTGTGTTCTTTTGTGACTCTGTAGGTTGCCATACTGTGTAAACCCTGCACCACAAACTTCACACTTGTAAGGCTTTTCTCCCGTGTGTGTTCTTTTGTGACGCTGTAGGTGGCCACTGTGTGCAAACCCTGCACCACAAACTTCACACTTGTAAGGCCTTTCTCCCGTGTGTGTTCTTTTGTGACTCTGTAGGTGGCCACTGTGTGCAAACCCTGCACCACAAACTTCACACTTATAAGGCTTTTCTCCCGTGTGTGTTCTTTTGTGACTCTGTAGGTTGCCATACTGTGTAAACCCTGCACCACAAACTTCACACTTGTAAGGCTTTTCTCCCGTGTGTGTTCTTTTGTGACTCTGTAGGTTGCCATACTGTGTAAACCCTGCACCACAAACTTCACACTTGTAAGGCTTTTCTCCCGTGTGTGTTCTTTTGTGACGCTGTAGGTGGCCACTGTGTGCAAACCCTGCACCACAAACTTCACACTTGTAAGGCCTTTCTCCCGTGTGTGTTCTTTTGTGACTCTGTAGGTGGCCACTGTGTGCAAACCCTGCACCACAAACTTCACACTTATAAGGCTTTTCTCCCGTGTGTGTTCTTTTGTGACTCTGTAGGTCGCCACTCCGTGCAAACCCTGCACCACAAACTTCACACTTGTAAGGCTTTTCTCCCGTGTGTGTTCTTTTGTGACTCTGTAGGTTGCCATACTGTGCAAACCTTGCACCACAAACTTCACACTTGTAAGGCTTTTCTCCCGTGTGTGTTCTTTTGTGACTCTGTAGGTTGCCATACTGTGTAAACCCTGCACCACAAACTTCACAACTGTAAGGCTTTTCTCCCGTGTGTGTTCTTTTGTGCTTCTGTAGGTCTCTACTCTGTGTAAACCCAGCACCACAAACCTCACACCTGTATGACCTATCTCCCTTGAGTCTCTTTTCCAGATCCATGGGGCTAGTTACCTGAGGATGACGAACCTCAACTTCTCCACTGTATGCTTGTTCCTCTGACCCTGTGCGTGCAGGCTCCAAACAGTTGAATGAACCTACTATAGGCAGAGTACATGAGGTTTTGACTTTGGAACTACATTTCTCCAACTGTCCATTTTCACAACCCACTCCAGACCTGGCCGTCGGGTTTTGATGACAGTTTTCGCCTTCAGGCATCTCCTGTGCTTTACTAAAAATAATTTTACATGCATTTGATGTCTCCACACAAACAATACCTTTTTGCTCAACAACCGAGTCACATTTCCCAGAATCCACGTCAGATCCACAACGTGGCCTTTCCAAACACATTTGCTTATCATCAGTTTCATTATGATAGAAACTATTGTCCTTCCCACCAGCGCAGGTATCCCCAGAGGTTGCTTCACGAAGCTCATTCATTTTTCTTAGATGAACATTTTGTTCTATCTCGAAACGGAAATGTGTCAAGTGTCTATGCCTTTTCCGAGTGTGATTTTCTCGCATATCCCGATGACTGAAGGCCAGTGGACAGTAGCGGCAAGAGAACACACCTGGAGAAAGAAAATTTAAAAAACCCACAAGTTTACGGTAAACTAAAAGAATACTTTTGCAGTTAAGTGTTCTCTTTAGAGAAAACAGAAGCTCCAGGGCATTTACCCGAGGATTCTGAAAAACTTTCAGTGTTTGTAAACGGGAAAGCATTATGTTCATTATTGTACATTGGAAAGCATTATGTTCATAATTGTAGATGGGAAAGCATTATGTTCATAATTGTAGATGGGAAAACATTATGTTCATTATTGTAGATGGGAAAACATTAGATCTATGTTCATAATTTTCACCCCCACTCCCCAAAAGTAAGACAAGTGAATGGACCACAACAATTATATTCACTATTGTTTCTTTGTGTTAGTTTTAGTAAGAGTTTTACGACACTCGCAACACAATAAGGTCATATCAGTGCTGACGATTAGAGGTGTTACAAGAGAGTAACAAACACAAAAAAGAAGGAGGAGAGATAAGGACGACAGATGTTGGATAGGAAAGAAAAAGCAAACCACACCAGAGCATCCGTCAACCACCCACTTTGTTTCTTAGTTCAGCATAAACCTGTTATACAATGTAAGCTGACTATACATGTATTATTTTCCCAGTCCAATCAAAAAACAGCCAATACTGGCAAGCGAACTGTTGCCGCTAAAATAGTTAACCCTTAATTACCAAAAACAGAGCGCAAAGGAAAAGAAAACACATGGTCATAACATCTTTTTTCCCATATAGTAGAGGGTTTTACGGCGCTCGCAACTGCATGGGGTCATATCATTATGAGCGCCAAGAGGTGGGTGTCAACAGAGAAGTCTTTACAGGGAATCAGACTTAGACTGCTCACCTCTCTAGCTTCAACAGCACAAGGTCTGCTTCGACTATCAAGGCAACCCAAAATAGCAGGTCACAAGAGAGTGACAAACATACAAAAGAAGTAGAGGAAAATGACAATAGTAAGGATCAGGAAAGAAAAAGCAGCAGTTCCCTGTTGTAGATCAGGCACAGTTATGAGCGTGACATGAGTCAGCCCATTTACAATTCTACTATGCTTGAACGAGAAATGTCCCCCCTTTGGGAATGGCCTAAAGACACTTCAGTCAGAGGCACTGCCCTGGGGGGGGAGTGGTGGTGGTCATAACATCAATACATAATAATATTACAATGAAATTTAAAGATACCCACGAAAGGAAAGCCAAGGGCTCCTACATGCACACATTTTTGAAGTCAAAGAGAACTGAAATCTTTTTATTAACAAAATGGTGGTCATGAAAGAAGAAGTCAGTCTGATTTACATTAAAATACCCCAACACTTTTAGTAAATTTATGAGCTAAAAGTGGAGAACAAATCTGGTCCTCACTACAATAGGTCCATTAGTCTGTTCAATTATTAACTCTCTTTCCATTTAAGTTTTGAGCCCAAGACCATTAATACATCTCGTCATATTTTGAAAAACAAGCTTCACATACTATACTACCTTTATCTGTTCAACTCTTGGTGGCTGAACTGATAGGAGGTCATAGGGTGTACACAATGTGGGTATCACAAAAGTATGTGTAAACATAGGACCCTCACCCTCTCTATCCTACTGGAAGGCAAAGAGAAAGATCCACAACCTGATGACGACTATGTAGACTATCCATCAGGACAGAGGAGATAAGACAAAAGCCTTGACGAGGTGTAATGTTGTCCATGGAATGGGGGAAAATATCAAAGTGCACAAAGTTTAATATGTGCGAAAAAAAAATTGATAAGCTAAACAGGATAGAAAATAATAAAATAATATAATTTTACCAAACTGCTTTAAATAAATGCCTTTGCATGGGGTCATGAGTATTAAAGACAAGATCTCATAAAACTCACCGTCAGCTTCCCCGAGGGGGCCTCGAATGAATTCTTTCGGCTCAGTTTGAGCCCTGACCAGTCTGCCAACTTTCTGGACTTGAATGCCTAGGTCTCGGGCATAGCTGTCACCGTAGTAAACCTGATTTGTATGTGGGGGGGGGGGGGGGGATAAAACGGATATAAATATGCATGGGACAAAATATTCAATAATACAATGGTGTCCACCTTACAGCAACCCCCTTGGGAAGAAAGCCTTGGTTGCTGTTAGAAGGACGTTGCTGCTAACTGAATTTTCAAGGGGGTGGGGGGGGGGGCATCTTTTGGGCTGCAACATGAGCATCAAGGTTCATTTTTCTGACAAATCATTTCGAAAAATTTCTTCAAAAACTTTGGTTATGTGTATGTGAGTAATGAGCAAGGTGAAAGATTTTTACCAAGACTAACTTATGGGGGAATGGTATCAAGGCCGATAGCACAACAAAATGATGCCAGATCATAGTTGGAGCATTTAATTCGAAGAGAATTTCCAAACAACGCACTCCACACAAACCCGAAAAAGAAAGTTTCTGTAATGAACATGTTGCCTCAAACTTAGGTACATGAACTGCTTTTTAATGGTGTAACCAATGCCACTGTGAACTTGTGCCAGAAGCAGACTTAGTGCCTAAACACTAAAGATAAAGATCTTTCACTGCCTAGCCGGTACCCATTTCCACCAGCGTGAAATGAGGACAGCTTATGTAAATGTCTTTGTTTTTTGTTTTTTTGTTTTACGGCACTTGCAACACAACAAGGTCATATGAGTGCCGAGGATTAGAGGTGTTACAAGAGAGTAACAAACACAAAACAGAAGGAGGGGAGATAAGGAGATAGATGTTCGATAGGAAAGAAGGAGCAAACAACACCAGAGCACCCGCCAACCACCTACTAAAATGTCTTTCAAGGCCACAACGTCAGACCACTGCTGGATTCCAACCCATGACCTTTCAGTCACAAGCCCGTCAGCCTAACCACTAGACCACTGACACCACCAAAAATATACACTGAGCCATACATAAACACCCAGAACAAAATCCCGAATTATGAAATAGCTACCAGTATTTCTGTGCCAGCAGGGATGGGCCTGTGAGAGCGGTAATAAATCTCTCCCTTGTACTGGTACGCAGTCACACACTGCTCCTCCTCCGATCTGGCACAGTTCACAAATCGCATCCAGTTGGAACAGGCAGGGTCACTGGCGTCTACAAAATGGGACGGTTTTTCATCTTCGAATATCTGTGAGAAAATATATGATACATTAATATCATGTAACAAAAGTAAATGCACTTCTGCTGCATATTTCCATATTCTAGAAAATGCTCAATGATCAATGTGATCACAGTCAAAGAGATATACGGACCGGTAGATCTACATCATATTTCCAAATGACTTGACTATCTAGAATCTAGTGTATATACACACACAGTTCTCCGATTGTTGGGCAATTTTGATCCATTTGTTTGTTTTGGTCTTATTACCTCTGATGCCTATTGGAAAACACATTCATACAATGTACGTGGCTTTTACTGACACGCTTCCGCAAACACACACAACAAATGTAAACTTACAGTTCCCAAGGGCACTATAGCTTTGGAAAACACCACACTTTAGCGGCCATTTTCTCGCCAATTCTACCTGACACCGATGAATCCACCTCTTCAATTACAAATACATGTATCTCGACCTTTATTCAAGACAGAAAGGTATTGTTTCCATCAAAAGCACGGCAAATGAACCGGCTTTATCGGTGTACAATAACTCCATATGCCCTAAAAACTGACAAGCGCCTGGTTCCCCTGCTCCATGATGCTTTTATAATCCTGACAAGACCAACACAGCCTAATCTAAAGACCCCTGAGTTATGTCTGTTTCAGATCTGGCACTTTGAGGAGAAATGATAGCTATGCTTTAAGCACACAGAAAGGTATGTATACTCACTTGCCAACAATATCCCGACAGGTGTGCAGTTGCTTCATCCTTCACTTTCTTCCCTCCGTAAGGACCAAATCTTGTCCTTGATGGGAAATCTTTGACAGCGAAAACACCAAGGCCAGCTCCAGGAATTGTTGACCTCTTTATGATAAGTCCCTCAGGTAAAGTCTTGGAAGAATACTGGGAATGTGTCCCTTTATTAATGCCCTCAGGCACCTGGAACACATGGGAAGATCGCACACTTTCTTAGTCTAAGAAGAGGTTTTACGGTGCTCGCAACTGCATAAGGTCATATGAGCGCCAAGGGGAGGATGTCAACAGAGAAGTCCTTACAGGGAATCAGACTTATTCTGCTCACCTCTCTAGCTTCAACAACACAAACTCTGCTTCGACTATCAAAGCACCCCAGAAATAGTGGGTCACAAGAGAGTGACAAACATACAAAAGAAGTGAGGAAAATGACGATAGTAAGGGTTAGGAAAGAAAAAGCAGCAGTTCCCTGTTGTAGTTCAGGCACAGTTATGAGCACGACATAGTTGGATCAGCCCATTTACAATTCTACTGTGCATTAGACATTAGACCAAGAAATGTCCCCCGTTTGGGAGTGGCCTGAAGATACTTCAGTCAGTGGTACCGCCCCCCGGGGGGGGGGGGGGGTATTGCACAATTTTTAGTTTTCTCTGCTCAAAGTTTTTTCGGTTTTAACACTGACAACACGAGAATAAGTGGCATCACAAAATACCGTTCTCATAATTATTTTGTTCCTCTGAACTATGAAAGGGACCTATTTCTTACATCCTCAATAAACTTGTCCGAGGTTCACTCTTATTGAAGAGATGAACTATAAAATCGAAAATTTTGTCACCTACAGTACTTCAAACTCATACCTGCCAACCACTTCATGACAAAACTGGAATTCCCTCAAAATCCTCCGAAAAATTAAAGTTTGGGGTAAAAAAAAGTCCCAAGAACCATAGTCAATAATAAACGTTATGTAACGAAAAGACCATGGCAGATTTTTTAAAAATACGCGCGATTAAATACGTAATTTACGATATGAGCAAAATAATTTTATTGCAAATAAAACTTTCTGTTTCTGTCTGTCTACCTTGCTTTCCCCCGGAACTAAAATGACCATTTTCATTAAGTTAATGTGCGTCTCTTTTGTACAACAAACAAACAGAGCGGGAGACTGGAGGGCGCCACTGGTACATCATCCTTCATCTCTGTCCCTCGCTCATGTTTCTGTTCATCTGATTCTGCTTTGCCTTCTCCCTGTGTCGATGTGCTTTTCTCTACTTCAAAAACAAACAGAAACAAACATGACAGCAAATCATACCTGAGCATCAGCCACAATCAGCAAGGGTCCGTGCTCGGGGCAGTCTCCATCATACTCAAAGTTGCATTCCTCACAGTCTGGCGAACAAGAGTTTAAAAAATGTTAGATCACTTTACAGGCTGAAAAGTAAATTAAAATGACTGTGAGGCACCATGGTGAACCCAGGCACTCATCAAAATAATGGAATTAAAAAACGACATCTTCCCCTGCTGGGCAATTGTTCACTTTTACATTTTAAAATGTTTTTTTTTTGTTTTTTTTTTTGGGGGGGGCGGTGCTCATATCCTTTTATGTCCATAAAAAAAACCCATTTGAGTGGCATTGTGGTGAAATCAGGTGCACTTCAATTCAAAACAATCAAATAGAAGAGCCCAACATTTTCTGACTGCTTGTCGGGAATTTTTATCAATTATTTTGTTTATTTCGGATCAACATCTTTGTCCATTTAAGAAAACGTTTCTGAGTGGATTTTTAATGAAAATAAATGTAAAAGCACAAAAAAATCGCAGTTTCCAAGATATTCAAGCCTTGAAGGCCACCACATTTTGGCGACCATTTTCTCGCTAATTTTACCCGACAACAGGTACAGGTGATCCCCACCTCTTTTAATGGCAAATATCTCCACTTCTACTCAAATATATGTGTACTTTTTTCATCAAAAGCAAGACAAATGAACAAACTTTAAGGACTGGTGGGGCACCTGAGGTCTATTTTGGCTATTACAAGGCCTAGAGTGCCGATATTTGCTGTGGGATATCGTGTGTTATTGGGGATTTGAAATCAATAGTTCAAAAAGTATATTGTGAATCGGTTGCTATGGAAACGGCGTCCATATTGGATTTTGTATACCTTTTTCAATCCCATTTTATTTCCTTATTTATTAACCGATTCATTTCTAATTTGGCATGCCAACAGTACATATGTAGCTCTTAAATTTGGCTTGTTGAATTTTTTATATATGCTTCTGTTTTTATTTTATGGCATTTACAATTGAGATGTTGCAAAAAAAAAAGGAAAATTCATGCTAAGCCTATAAATAAAAAACTACATTAATCAAAAATTCAACAAGCCAAAATTTAGATCTAGGTGTTGTTGGTATCCTGTGAAAGTTACATTAAAATTGAATAAGAAACAGCAGAAAAATGGGATAATATGTGAAAAAATAAAATTGTGAGAAAACAGCCGATACAGGTAAAAAAAAGGCTAGACGACATGTGCTTTCGCCGAAAAACCTGACAAAAAAACACAGCTTTAGGGTGTAGCAAGGCTTACATACGTTTCTGGATATTGTTCAGGAAGTGTCCAGGTACTATAATATGTAATAAACCCAATTTACAAAATTTGACCCCCAAACACGATTTCTAGGTGCCCCACCAGCCGTTAAAGAGGATACCAATAACTCCATGTGCCTACAAATTGACGAGCGCCTGATTCCACCGTATCGTGACACAAATGGTAACCAAGTAGATGTGAGTGCTGACTGAAAAAAATCCAAGCAACCTTGACTAGAGACACATAAAAATGTCCTTAAAAGCAACACAAATTATGTTCATGCATTCATGCATAAACACACAAGGAAACAACATGATATGATATGCTGAAACGCCTCCGCTCCATAGACATTCTCTTTAAGGGGGGGGGGGTGAATTCAGGATCTCCATAAGCAGCACCAGCTCTGGGAAGGTGCTGACACGATAACACAGCGAGGTATGTGCCCTTGGAACAGAAGTCCCAGTTACTGTGCAATGTGTAGAATGTGTAGAAGCTGTGACGCTAGATGCACAGCACAAAGTACAAGGTGACCTTGATACATGCCATCAAGTTCAAAGTAAAAAACCAAGTAAAAGTAAAATTGTGTTTGTTCAAGTTCAGAATAAATATCGCATAAAACCAGGCGCATCACGAACAAATTTTCTGATTTTGATACGCTGATTCCGAAAATGAAATCAGATTTAAGCTCAAAATTAATTTTTAAATATATAATTTGCTCGCAAAGTTTAACCACGCAAGGCGGCACATTTCAAAGGGATTCTGTGTTCCGGCTTGTCTCTCATAAGTCTGACGTAGATCGCGTTTGATAGTATTTGACTCCCTTGTCCCTCCCCTCCTCTCCCTATCTCCTAGAATTTGTTTTTAAAAATCATCAACACATAATGCGATAGGCTGGGAGTGAGTGTGACCGATGGACAAAATGCAGCAGTCACAGCACTGGATGTGTTTTATTATTACTTAGTAGAGGTTTTACGGCACTCGCAACTGCATAAAATCATGTGAGCGCGCCAAGGGGTGGATGTCAACAGAGAAGTCCTTTCAGGGAATCGGACTTTCTCCGCTCACCTCTCTCGCTTCAACAGCACAAAGTCTGTTTCGACTTTCAAGGCACCCCCGAAATAGCGGGTCACAAGAGTGTGACAAACATACAAAAGAAGTAGAGGAAAAATGACAATAGTAAGGATTAGGAAAGAAAAAGCAGCAGTTCCCTGTTGTAGATCAGGCACAGTTACGAGCGTGACATTGATGAATTAGCCCATTTACAATTCCACTGTGCATGAACGAGAAATGTCCCTCCTTTGGGAATGGCCTAAGGACACTTCAGTCAGTGGCACCGCCCCGGGGGTGCACTGGATGTGCAGAGTTTCTGACGTCATGTATACCCAGTACCGGAACTGGCGGTACTCGACAGATAACTTACTTTCTTTACTTTTTTCTTCCGCTTGTACCCTGGGGTGTCGCGGGGAGACACAGGTGTCTGTCTGCACAGATAAAGTACCGGAACTCAATTTCGCCTGTACCACCCAGCACTGCTAAAAGTATAGACTAATTGAACATGAAGATGAAGCTTACATAAAAAAAAAATAAAAAAACCCACATTTTGTTTCAATCATACTTGACATTTTAGAGCAAAAATCCTTACAAAGAAAATCATCGTCATCAGGTATGGCTAGGGCCATGTAGCAAGTCATCCTCTTCTTCCTCAAGGGATACACGTGAGACTCAGAACTGCTGTCATCCTCTGATTGATCCATTGGAGGAACTGAGGGTCTCCTCTTTTTCTATGTATAAATCAGTACAAAGAATAAAAGGACACTGAATAAATGAGCGGGGGGGGGGGGGGGGGGGAGGACCTTATTAATCTTTTTTTTCAAGAAAAAGGCAAGAAATCTCCTACAGAGATTCCGACAGTATAGATCTAATATTAAAACATATTTCGGCAATTACTTCACAGTGCTTTGATATCAAAGATTGTTACAAGATTGGCCGCTCTTCTAGAGAAACAAAAAAATGTCCTTAAAATAAAAATACATGCTCACACTGTACTTACACTTGCAAAGAATGTTTTTAGGCATTTTCTTTTGTGGGCTATACTCCCCTACAGGCTGAAAAAGACTGATGATGATGAAGTATGTATGCAGGGATCAGGTTGCGCCGTCTGCTAATCGTCTCCCTTTACCCCAACCCTCTTTCCATCTGTTTTCTTCTTTATCGAAAATAACTTCGCATTATTATCAGTTACTGCATGGCATCCCTTCCTTTGGCTGGGTCTATTGAGGAGTCGAAGCGCTTGAGTCCGCAGTGCTTTTTGAAACAAGCGGAGGGAGGGGGTGAGAATGCCCACACTTTCCCTCCCCCGCATCCCCAAACAGTGCTTAAACTTCCTGACAGTATAGATCTAGCTCACGTATTGGAGACGAGCGGCTAAGCAGATGGGCCAACGCAGAAACAAGAAAATCTCTCTTCGGGTACTTGGACAAACAAAACCCCAAAGACCCTTCACATCTCTTATGTAGTGCCGATGAGACTTTGATCTTCAGAGCCCGCACAGGACACTTACACACCAACAAGCACATAAACAGAATTAACCCCATGTGGGAACCCCATTGCAAACACTGTGACTACCACGAGGAGAACGTTGAACATCTTCACTGCCCAAACCTGGCAGTTCTTTGACGCAGGCTCTTACACACACCTACAGACTGCTCTACTCTGGCGTTGACCAGACGACAAGGAAATGTGATTACTTGAGGGAGGCATTGCGCTGCCCAGAGCGAAATGCTCGCAGCTAAAGGGATTCGAAAACAACAACAACAACAACAGCTCATGTATTGTTATGGACTCGAAGAGAGCCTATATTATGCAAGCTCAAAAAATGTTATATATCCCTATTTCAAACCAGGTTCTTTGGCGGATATTTATTTTCAGAACGGTTTTAAGGTACAAAAATCATAGAGACGATTCAGTATCCCAATAAAAGTGAGTTCTGAGGTGGACTTGGTTCCTATGCGGTGTGTTCAAAGACAGGGGCCATTGTATAGACACGAGTTCTGTTCAGGAACAGCAATAAATTGTTAAGCTCACAGACCCAAGTAGGGAAGAAAATGTATATTACATACCGGTACATAAAATTATAGAATCCACTGTTATCATTTTTACAGAAAGTATGAACACATGCTTTTAAAACACATCAGCAGTATGGATACATACCTTAAGAATACATTAAAAATATGAACTTTTAAAATATACCTTAAGAATAATATATGAATATATTAAGAGTATGAACTCGTACCTTTGGGACAGAAGACGTCTGCTTCTTTTTCTTTTGAGCACTTGGTTCAGAGAACATCGGTCGGAGAGGGAAAAACGGTTTACTCTTTCGCTCTGAGTGACACATGAAAATAAAACAAAACCCATTGGCATTAGCAGGCCCTAAGACAGAGGAACAAAACTATCAGTGAGACAAAGCATGCATATGAGAAACATTAAGAGGGTAAGACCTACAGTTAGAGGTATTTCTTCGCGAACTTATAGGATGGTACCTGAATCGATTATTACACAGCTGTTAACTTTTCAGAACAAAAACAGTTATCATGTACAGGCAAAGTCCAGACCAAGATGAAGGACACTGGATAAGCGACCCTCCTCCAAACCCTTCACTCACTTTTTCTGTAGCATTCAATAGACTCAAATTAATTATTCAGAGCAGATCTGCAATATCAATGTCAGAAATGTTTAGTAAAGATCTCTCCAAATGACTTTGTTATCAATATTGTTTGTATAGCGACTTTCCTTTTCAGAACTGATATCTGAAAGTATTTTGAAAAAAAAGCATCAAACACACGTGTTCTACTTTTTCCAACCCTAAGGTTAGAGAGAAGATTGTATTGGAGAACTCAATGTGAACAGCACAATATTATCCCCCCCCCCCCCCCCAAAAAAAAAAGAAAGAAAGAAAGAAAGAATAAATAAAAACCAACAAAAAAAGCAAAAAGCAAACCCGCACTGACGTGACAGTAATTGATTGTCTTACTGGTAGGCAGTTTGGGCATCTCTGCAGCTGGTGTCCACTCGGAGTCTGAGCCTTCTGAAGAAAAGTCGTCAACTGGCACCATCAATGCCAGCTTTTGCCTCTGGGACTTGAGCCGTACCATGAATTCTGGGGGCTGAACAGGAAGACCTGTGATGCAAAATCATAAATGAAAAGGTCAGCTTGTGTTTATATGCGCCTCGCACACCATCATCATAATCAATGCCTTTCACCCCTGGCAGGGGATAGGTCACATACAAGCTCCTTCCATTTATCTATGTCCTGAGCCATCCTTCCAAGGTCGTTCAAAGTGAGCTTCACCTCTCTCATGTCCCTTTCCACGCATCTCCTCCTTGTTTCCCGTGGCCTACCCCAGCCTCGTCGGTTCCACTGCAGTGACTGTCTTGTGATGTTTCCGCTGGGCTTTCTTATCTAGCACACCAAAAGAAGTAAAATTATTGCATTTAATCATAATATGGGACAGTGAACAAATTGATTTTGCAAGTCAACCTTATTGTTCATCTCCATTTTTTTTCCACCTATTCACTCTGAAATGGGGCCCCTTGATTGCTGAGTTGCTACCATGCTGAAGTACAGTGTGAATGACCATGGTTTGAATCCATCAATGGGGAGTTCTGGACCTTGGGCTAGAGCTTATCTGTCGACGTTGGGTGTCCTGGCAACAGCAGAAACGCTTGGAACATGCTGATGGCTCGATTTCTCTGATGTTGAGTTAAACCTGCTATCTTTTTGAGGGTGAGAAGGATCAAATTTTACCGAAGTTTTTATCAAAGATCTAAACTTCATTAGAAAACAAAGAATTAGGAAATTCGCAACATGGTCGTGAAAGAAAATGCAAATTTTCTATTTTTTGATGTTGGTGCTGTGTAGTGTGAACACTATTTCAAGCGCCAAAATGTTACTTCTGTATTATGACTTACTTTCAGGACTACTTAAATTACTCACGTGAAAGAAAAAACGTTACGACTCAAAGACTAGATTTTTTTACACAATTGGAAAGTTGTACTCTTCTCTTGATTGGCAGTATCCACACTTATTCACCTGAGTAGTAAAGAGCAAGACATTGACACGATAGCAGTTATCTAGTGTAAGGTGAAAACAAGATGACAGACAGAAACAACAGAAGGAAATACATTATGAGGTAGGACCAACCAAAAGCCCCCCCCCCCCCCCCCCCTCAACTGTCTGTTAACTGCTTAACTAATGGAAGTGCACTTTAACTTATTTTTCATCCAATCTTCATGAAATTTTCACGGAATGAAGAGAAGATGTAATACAAAAAAAGACTGTCTGCTGAATTTTTGATAGATCTAGATGGAATAGGCTAGATTTTTGTTGGTAGTGTCTGGTATACGGAGCAAGCAAATTTCTACTTTAAAATAATGAGTCAAACTTTTTAAACCAAAAAAAAAGAGAAGAAAATAGAAACTTTAATTCTTAAAAATTATTTTAAAAAACGTTACTAGAGTCGACTCGTCTTCACCCTAAAAGAAATTCACAAGAAAGACTGCAAGGATCATATTAAACTACCAGAGGAGGTCTGCTGCTGTCATCCCCCCCCCCCCCCACACACACACCTGCAGGATCTAGGCTATGTCCGATGATGCCCCTGAGCACTGAGCACCCCACACACGCGTCTAACATCATCACATACGAAGAGACTCGAGGTCATTAGTTTTTAGTTTTAGTAAAGGTTTTACGGCGCTCGCAATTGCATAACGTCATATGAGCGCCAAGGGGTGGATGTCAACAGAGAAGTCCTTACAGGGAATCAGACTTACTCTGCTCACCTCTCTAGCTTCAACAGCACAAAGTCTGCTTCGATTATCAAGGCACCCTGGTAATAGCGGGTCACAAGTCATGCAAAAGAAGTAGAGGAAAATGACGATAGTAAGGATTAGGAAAGAAAAAGCAGCAGTTCCCTGTTGTAGTTCAGGCACAGTTGTGAGCATGACATTGTTGGATCAGCCCATTTACAATTCTACTGCGCATTAGAACAAGAAATGTCCACCCTCCCCCCTCTTTGGGAATGGCCTGAAGACACTTCAGTCAGTGGCCCAGCCCCAGGGGTAACCCGAGGTCTGTATGTGGATTAGGCTAGTTACCATGTACTTGGGTGCGTTGGAATTCACTTACCGTACTTTCGTAAAGCTTCAAAGTTTTGTCTCATGTTCGTCAAATGGATCCTTTCATATTGTGGAATTTTCAAATACTCCTCGGGCGTGAAGAACTCCTTAATGGAGCATGGTAAGTTGTCCAAATGTGCCGGAAGATGACTCATCTTGACTGATCACAAAGGAGTAGACTGAGGTGAAAAATGAAGATTTCATATAAGGCAAAATTTCTTTAACCTGTTTCCGTCCCAATTTTGACAATCGCCAAATTAGGGTTGATTTCCTATTTTTTGTTAACAACACTCAGAGTTTTTATTTCAGCTATTTGAACTCAATGAGAATCCCATCTGTTCTTTGTTCACAAGCTAGACTAGATATCTATTCCTAGATCTAGGCTTGTCCTTCCATTTTTAGCACAGTTTTCGAAGTGGAGTGGCATTTAGATCGATATCTAGATGCTAATCTAGATTTAGTTGTCGTTCTCTAGCTATCCGCTTGTGGTATGACCAGCAGACAAAACCATTTTCAAAACCTCTGACAATGGTTTCAAAATGACTGAAACAATGCTTCATAATTTTGGCTCCAAAAAATGTTCATAAAAGATGATCTAAGAGTGATTACTCTTTGAACAATTGATTATATAAGATGTTGACGTGCCTAGGTTGCATAGCAAGTGTTTCCTAATGCCTCAGGTAATTAGAATCTACAGTAAGAGAAAAGGAGACATTTATGAGGGTATCTCCAAATCCATTTCTTATTGCCCCGCTCTCCCGTATGCCATAGACCTTCTTTAAATGTAGATCTAGGCTACATCTAGATATCTAGATCTAGATTCTAGATCTAGAAATTTATAATCTACAGATCTAGATCTCTAGATGTAGATCTACATAGATCTAGATCTATAGATCCAGATATCTAGATCCTCATTTAGATCTAGAAATCTAGACTCTATTTGATCTAGATCTAGATAAGATTTAGATCAATATACTTCAAAAAAGCTTTTGGCAGAATATGGCAGGAAGCTTTGTGGCCAACCATGAACTTATACAACATCAACGCCAGCCTGATCAAAGTCAGAAAAGTCATACAGCAAAGCTACGAACAACAGTGGGAATACGCCAAGGTTGTCTGCTCTCACCCACTCTTTTCAACATTTTCTTGGAGAGGATCATGACAGATGCACTTGAAGATCACGAAGGAACAATCAGTATTGAGGGCAGAACGATTAATAACTTACGTTTTGCAGACGACATAGACGGCCATGCGGGATAAGAGCAAAAACTAGAGGTAGATCTAGTCAGCTTAATTAATAGACCATCTTGAAATGACCTCCACCGCCTACAGCATGGAAATCAGTGCTGAGAAGACCAAACTGATGTCTAACAACAGCAAAAACATCACATTGACATCCAGAATCCAGGTCAACAACCAGAGGCTTGAAACCGTACGCAGCTCCAAATACCTGAGTGCAATAGTGACAGACGAAGGATCAAAACCAGAAATTATATCCAGACGGTAGTTCCCAGTTCCCACCCCGCAATTGTATTCGCCTGTTTTGGCCTCAAGAGTGGGGGGTTTCAGGGGACAAGCTTGTCCCCCTGACCTAATGAAAATATGGTGGGGGGTTGCAGGGGGGCAAGCCCCCCCCCCCCCTGAATTTTACCATAATTAGATGTTTTGTATTTGTTAGGTTTGATATCTTACCTAATATAGATCTAGATCTAGAATCTAGAGAGGTCAAGATTTAGATTCTAGATGTAGATCTAGATGTAGATCTAGGCTCAAATAAAGGGGGGGGGGGGGACTAGAAATTTACAGAAAAAGCACCCAAACTTCAACAGCAATGACCAAGTTGAAAACCATCTGAAACGACAGCAACATCACCATCAGATCAAAGATCAGACTGATGCGTTCCCTGGTCATGTCAGTATTTTTTTATGCGTGTAAAACCTGGACCTTGGATGCAGACCTTGAAAGAAGGATCAAAGCTGTGGAGATGAGATACTTCCGAAAAATCCTTGGTATCTCATGCAAAGTACAAAGATCACACCACAAATGATGAAGTTAAACAACGAATCATAAATGAAATCGGACCATACCCTGACGTTCTCACTCTGGTCAGGAAACGCAAACTGCAATACTGCTGCAATAGTATTGACACATCACCCGTTCATCCGGCCTTGTCAAGATGATCCTGCAGGGCAACGTCCAGGGGAAAAAAGGAGCAGATCGAAGAAGAGTTATCCTAGGAGGACAACATCAAGGAATGGAAAGGCCTGGAACTCAAAGACTCGCCCAGGAAAGCTGAAGACCGGAAGGAGTGGAGGAAGCTGGTGGCCAAATCTTCAAAAGCGCCCCGACGGACATCCAGTCTACGGGACAGAATCTTATAATCTAGACTCTTCACAAATACAGCCTAAACTTACAGAAGCATGCTCTTACCCCAATCAAAGGCAATACTGACATCTGCCAAGCACAAAGTGCAAAGTAGGCCTGGGCCTATTCTTTTCGAATGGCGGAAGCGCCAAAACAATTCACAGACCAAAACTGAAGCGTTTCCTTCCAGCCGGCAAAAAGTAGTATATGTATCGATACTGAGTTGATCTAGCGTAATCGAGTTCTAGAGTTTGGGTGGTTAGAAAAGTAGACCAAAATTCTAAAAAGCCTCTTTGGTTCTTCTTACTCTTACCTCGCCCACTTGGTTCAGTTAGGCCTAGATCTAGATACTATTTAAATTGAACGGCGACACCCATTGGCACCAACAGAAGGGAAAGGTGAAGTAGTAGATCTAATACCGCAGATTTCCCGAACAGAAAAATTAATGGCGAGCTATGATTGCCGATGTCTGCCATTTCAAGATAGGCTAATGATGTACGCCTGGGCTAGAACTCTTGAAGTAGAATCTAGAATAAATCTAGATCTAGATCTAGGCTAGGCTATTAATTCGTCTTTGTGAAAAATATTGTACCAAAGAGTACTTTGATTGTACCAAAGAGTCTACATAACAATAACAAGAGGGGCCACTCCTCTCTTTGAGCCAATTAAAAAAGTGTCCTCAAAATTCGGTGGCGCCCTCTTCGCAAATGCGCACCTTTTGCAAACAGAGTTACCCTATTTGTGTCCAAAAAAATCAAAGTGAAACTAGCAAGTTTTTGAATAAATTTCGGAAGAACGCTTTTTTAAAATGGTTACACTGACAAAAAACCTCTTCCGGAGGAAAGGGTGGTTGTTTTCTTCGTTTAATTTGACTTTAGAATGAAAGGTGAGAGGTCATTAAAATAAAATAAAAAACACCTAAAACTCAGCATTGAACGAACTCGAACTGCTGATGAACAGCAGTCGATCTGCGCACGCAAGGAGGTGCTATAAAAAAAATCCTATTCTTCTTCTGGAAAAACGAAAGAGAGCTTCAAAACGCTGCAACACCATCTGAAGCAAAGAGCGGACTTCCGGTGGACACTTTTTTGGCTGAGTGGGCCATCTTGTTATGTACTATCTTTGATTGTACCAATGAGTCTACATAACAAGAGGGGCCACTTCTCTCTTTGAGCCAATTAAAAAAGTGTCCTCAAAATTCGGTGGCGCCCTCTTCGCAAAAGCGCACCTTTTGCGAACAGAGTTATCCTACTTGAGTTTTAAAAAAATCAAAGTGAAACTAGCAAGTTTTTGGTTGAATTTCGGAAGAACGCTTTTTTAAAATGGTTACGCTGACAAAAAAAAACTCTTCCGGAGGAAAGGGTGATTGTTTTCTTCGTTTAATTTGACTTTAGAATGAAAGGCGAGAGGTCATTAAAATATAAATAACCTAAAACTCCGCAATGAACGAACCCGAACTACTGATGAACAGCAGTCGATCTGCGCACGCAAGGAGGTGCTATTCCTATTCTTTTTCTGGAAAAACGAAAGAGAGCTTCAAAACAGACTGCAGCGCCATCTGAAGCAAAGAGCATACTTCCTGCGGACACTTTTTTGGCTGAGTGGCCCATCTTGTTATTTACTATCTTTGATTGTACTCACCTTCGTCGAAAGTATCGTATAGCCTAAGTATCGGTTCATTTTGTGCAGAAGTGGCGTTACGTCACATCATTCGGCCCCCCCCCCCTTTTCTGTATTGCCTGGTTGGATGTTGAATTTACAGGCCCACGCTGGAGTAAAATCACAGATACTTTGATACACTGTTGAACAATTGATTAGTCATTGTCACTTTGAACCACAAAAAATGTTAAAAAGTTAAATTAAGTAATTTTAAAATGTATACATGTTGTTTAGCCTACATAAAAGAAAAAAGAGACAAAAGATATTATGCTGACGTTCTTGATTCATTGTTTTCTTTTTCTACTTCTTTTTTTTATAGACTGTAGATCAAGGCGTAGATCTAGCCTATTCAGGTTTGTAAAATACAAGAAGATTTATCTAGGCCTAATGTTCAGGAGAGCCATTTTATGGAAAACTTTTATGATGTGTGCAAAGTTCAGGATGTTTTTTTGTTGTTTTTTTTTAGAAGAAAGTATTATATATACCACGTAGGCCTACTGTCTTTTGATCAAAGAAAGGGTTTGGCTTATTAATTATTCTCATTATATATATAGGTTCATAAAAGACCGTAGGGCCTAGATCTATATAATGGATATGCATACATACATTCTAAATAGGCCTATAAAAAGTGATGACTTTGAACGTACCGTCATCTTCCGTACTTTAGAAAGGACAGTGTATATCACATAATTTTGTGTACATGCATAGATCTACTGATTTTTTTTAAACACAGAAAGAATATGACTCATATTATCGAGGTGAAATCAGGCGTTCGTCAAAATGAGGAAATCGAAGAAACAATCATTTTTTTTCCATCGGTTTGGCAATTTTTATTGAATTTTTGTGGGAGTTTTTTGGCTATGAACAAGCTACAAGATGATACCAACTGTTGATACAAATAGCTTCACGAGGCCCCCAAACCGACGAGCACCTGATTCTATCGAGTTGTGACAATATATAGGTGGCGTTAGATCTAAACATTGTAGGCCTACATGTATTTTATTACTAGATCTAGGTATTTTAAAGTGTCTGGCATTAGCTTGAGGTCTGTCCATAGCCTAGGCTAGCAGCATGGCCGAAGCGGCCAGATTTTTTAGCCGCTATAGGCCAAAGGCCCTTAGACCTACAAAGAAGTTTGAGATGCTTCTGAAGTCCGCATTACGCTACCCAAAGAGGTTAT